CCAGAAGGAGAAATAAGATAATGGGTGCAAAACACCTAACACGCCCCCAGCTACCCTCTTTGAGCCAGCTACAGGGATTAACATCCCTCAATTCTTTCTCCTCTTTCTGTCCTACAATTGCACTTCCAGAGGTGACTTCTTTGGTCTAAATCCTTCCCTGTTCACGGCCAGCAGTGTCTCACCTGGCAGGTGCCCCATCCTCCTACCTCCAGATTCTCTCGCCCCTCTTGGACCCAGGGCTGGGTTCCAGACCTCTCCCACCCTCCTCACCCTCACAGCCTGTCCTCCTGTACCAGATACTAGAGGGCACCATGAGCACGGAGTCAGATCTCTCCTCTGCCCTCAGGACTCCATGGCTCCCACCCACCCCTAGGACCAAGGCCCAAATCCTCCCCTCAGCCCACAGGGCCCTTCAAGAACTGCCTGTCTCCTCCTCACCTCCCTTGTTCTCTCCCTAACCCCTCCTTCCCTCTGCTTGAGCCACAGGGCCTCCTTGCTGCTTCTGCACCTCACTGGGTTCCATCCTGCCCCAGGGCCTTTGCATGGGCTCTGTCCTCCTCTCCCTACTCTCTGCCCCAGTCCTGGAGGCACTGTGTCCAGCTCGGCTCCCCTAATCCAACAGTGAGTCAGGGAGGACAAACCTCATCAGCAGCAGCAATGGGCATGTGCAGCTGGTGTCGCCGCAGCCAGGCAGCTTTATACTTGTCCAGTTTCTGGCCCTTGTACTTGACTGATGCCCAGCCACAGCCGGACTTCTTGGCCGGGTTGACCAGCTTCTTGCAATGCGTAGCCCAGGCACTGGGAGAGTTGAACACCTGCCCAGTTTCTTGCCACACAATCCTCCCATCCGGCTGCAGGTCTCCAATGAACTTCTTCCCCTAAGAGTGGGGACAGGGTTTGTCTTGATTACTGCTATGAGCTCGGCACCCAGAACCCAGGCTTGCATACAGCAGATGCTTAATTCAAACACTAATAATCAGTGGGATGCTGTGGCGCACACCTGTCATCCCAGCACTCTGGGAGGCTGAGGCAGGAGGATTGCAAGTTGAAGGCCAATATGGACAACTTATCAAGACCCAATCTCAAATAAAACAAAACAAATTTAAAGCAGTATCAGTGATGGTAATAATACACCTATTATAAAGCCCTTTAAGCCTGGTGTGGTGGTGCACTCCTGTAATCCCAGCACTTGGGAGGCTGAGGCAGGAGGATCGCTGCGAGTTCGAGACCAGTTTGGGCTACACAGTGAGTTCCAGAGCAGTCTGAACTACATAGTGAGACCCTGTCTCAACCCCCACAAAAGCCCTTTAAGGGAAGTAGCTCCCTGACAAACGCTTTATTCATATTCATTTAACACTGTGCAAGGGTCCTGGGAATAAAATATACTCCATTTACAGATGCAGAAACTTCTGCTACCACAGAGAGGCTGAGCGAGGTCACACAGCCAGGTGGGCACTGTATGGCCCATCTGGCTCTACACAAGTGAGGGCCTCTTTCTCTAACCTCAATTTCTCTTGTATGAAATGGGGCACTGTGTGTGTGTGTGTGTGTGTGTTTTGTTACTGGGAATTAAACCGAGGTCCTACATCCCTGGGACTTTTAAAAATTTTTACTCTGATACAGGGTTTTGCTAGGTCACTAAGTTGCCAAGCTGGGCTCGATTTGAGATCTTCCTTCCTCGGCCCCTCAAGGCTGGGATGACAGGAGGGCACCACGCGCGAGGCCGAATGTAGCACTCAACGAACCACGCCCCCCAGCCCAGATCTCTGAGCAGAGCGCGGATACTCCGTGCCTCAGTTTCTCCTCCTCATACAGGGGCTGCACAGAGCTGGGCCTCAGTTTCCTCCTTGCCCGAACCGGATGAGACGCCGAGCGATCGCTCACCAGGTAGTAGATGGAAAGCACCCCGGAGCCCGGCTCCAGCAGCGCGTCCTTGAGCAGCACCCGCAGCGTGACCGCGCGCCTCGTGAGCGC